GTTCAGAGCTGTGTTATTCACACTAGCCAACAAGTGGGGACAACCCAAGTATGCCTACTAGCAATAAAAAGGAACAGACTACAGTATGGATACGCTTCAACAAGGTAAGTGAAAGAAGTCAGACACAAAAGACCACATAAAATATAACTTCATTTGTATCAAATATCTAGAAAAGTCAAATCTATAGAGAAAGACAGATAAGTCACCTGGGGTTGGAGGTGGGAATGTAAAGTTACTGCAAGTGGAGACGAGGGATGTTTTAGGAAATGTTCTAGAATGAATGGTGGCAATGGCTGGACAAGTTTAAATTTACTCAAAACCATTGAATCAGGCCCTTAAAATACATAAATAAAAATGAAAAAAAAATAGTATTGCTGAGAGGAGCCCTGAGAAGTGATGATGCAGTGGTTAAAGTATTAGATTGCTAATGTAAAGGTCAGTGATTCAAACTCACCAGCCACTCCATGGAATAAAAATGTGGCAATTTGCTTCTATACGATTATTGTTATTAAGTGCCATAGAGGCGATTCTGACCCATAGTGACCCTGTATAGGGTTTCCAAGGAGCAGCTGGTGAGCTTGAACCGCTGACCTTGCCGTTCTATGCATTAACCCACAGCGCCACACCAGGACTCCTATAAGATTACAACCTTGGAAACCTATGGGATAATTCTACTAGGTCCTGTTACAGTTGCTATGAGTCAGAATCAACTAGGTGACAGTGGGGTTTTTGGTTTCCTAGACTTGCTATGGGGGTCAAATGAGTCAATACAACGTTAAGTGTTTATAATCCACCTATTGCCATGCATTCCTGTATTTATTAAGCATTTTTATTGAATGCTTTTATTCTGCCAGACACTGTGCTAGACGGAGTCCTGGTGTGGGGATGTAGGATAAGCACTGGACTGCAAGGTCAGTTTGAACTTCAAAGTTGATGATTTAAACTCACCAGCCACTCCTTGGAAACCCTATACAGGGTCATTGTGAATCAGCATCAACTCTGTGGCACTTAACAATAACAACAACTGTATTGGACACATCACACCAGTAATCCTTGCTCTCAAGGATTGGTGGAAAGTAAATAGTTGTATGTTGGGAAATGGCCTATGAAGGAATATCAGGGGTTCCTAGTTTAGGTTAGAGAGCAGGTAGGGCTCTTTGAGGAGGAGATATAGAGTTGGTCATGTGAACAGTTGGTAGGCGTGCTTGTGCAAAAGCCCTGAGACAGACAAGAGTTTGGTGCATTGCAGAAACTGAAAGAGGTTCCGTTTGACCGGAGCAATGTGAGGGAGGGAAAACGAAGCAAACACGATGAGGTAGGAGAGGTAGGCAGGGGTCTGATCATGCAAGTGGAGACAATCTTTTAGGGAGAAAATAAAGTCTGTTATAAATAAATAAAGGAGTTATCTCCTCTAGGATCTGGTGGCACTTTCAGGCTCTTTTCACCCTGCTGAATGGGTGGGGGATCAATCACAGAGCTTCAGGTTGTCCTTAGACATCATGTTACCTCTCAGTAAGGGGAATTAGAGGATCAGAGAGAGAGAGAGAAAGCACTGCCTAAGGTCACTCAGAGGGATGATGGCATATCCAGGAAAGAAGCCAAGAAACCTTGGTCCCCAGGCCAGTGTTTGTACTGCTGCCTCCTGCTGCCCAGCTGGTTCCTTGCACAGCCTCTGTCTCCGTCACAGTCCCTCCTCCCATCCCTGAGGCTCCCTTCCTACCCTTCATTTTCTGAGTATCACAGGGCACCCAATGTCCAGCCTTTTATCTCTCTCTCTCTTTAAAAAAAAAAACCAAACCTTTTTATTATGAATTAAGTGAAGGCTTACTGAGCAAATCAACAGCTTTACATTCAACAAATCATACACTTCATTTCAGCTCAATTACTGCAATCCCCTCCATGTAACACCACTCATTCCACTTTCCCCCTGTTTCTTGATTTCCTTTTTTTCCGATCCTTCTGAATTTTGTCTTTGGGTAAATGCTGGGTGTCCATTCTATGATGTGTGTATCTAATGTTATTGTCTTCCCTATATACTTGCCTATTGCTTGGCTGAAAATTGAGCCGCGGGTGATTCTTTTTCTATCTATGGGGAGGAGAGATTCCTGGGAAGGGTATTGCCTGCCCCATCCCATAAACTGAGGGTGGGGTCTGGTGCCCTCTTCTGGGAAGAATAGGAATTGCAATAGTTGGGCAAGGTTGAGCAAATAATGGTGATGGCTCATATCATGTTTCAAACCTTATGACAATCGTTCTGAGGAAGTCACTATTATCCCCTTATCAGAGTGTGTAAGTAGCCTACCCAGGGTTGCACAGCTGTAGGAACTTTGATCTGGAGAACTATTCGAACTAATCCCTACTGTTGGTAAAGTGTTTTCCCTGCCCACAAAGTGTTTTCCTGTCCTAGTATTCTGGGGTGCTTAGTCATTGTTGTTAAGTGCAGTTGAAGCAATTCCAACTCATAGTGACCCTGTATAAAATTTCCGAGGAGTGGCTGGTGTGTTTATCCTACAGCGAGTGAGCGTAGCACCAGGACCCCAGGGTGCCTCATTAGAGATGGGAAAGAAAGAAGCAGAGGCAGAGGTGGAGGGAATTCCTCCTGCAGGGAGGGACTCTCAACGTTATGGTCCCTCAATAAAGTTCCTAAAATTCAGGTTTGGCTTTTAGAGTAGAAGGAAGAGTCATTGATCTTCGTTGTTAGGTAATACTCACTCTTTTATTCATACCAATGGAGCCCGGATGTGGCGCTGTGGGATAATGCACTGACTGGACTACAAAGTGGGTTTGAACTGAAAGGTCAACAGTTCAGATTCACCAGCACTCTATACAGGGTAGCAATGATTTGGAATAGACTCCCCAGCTCTAAACAGCAACAATTCATACCAATGAATTTCTTGGGAGCTGTCTCATTGTGTCAACACCTTCAAGGCATGGGAATGCAAATATGATGGAGATTTTCTAGTAAAAGAGGAATTACCTGGTCCAGGTTTCTGCAGATGAGGCTTAAACCCCCTCCCCAGGCGTTTCTGCCACAAAGAGGCTGATGTAGAGCTGATTGATTGAATGGGATGTGCCTTTACCCCACAAGCAAAAGAAATCAGTCCTTGTTGTCTCAGAGTAAGAGTCGTTAGCATTGTTCTCTAGAAGAGGCAGTCACAACCATCATCATCTTTCCAGAACTTTTCCTCTGGAGGAGGAGAGGATGTGTGTGTGGAAAATGGAGCTCTTGCTAGACCCAGCTCAGCAAGGTGGCTTGGCAGGAGCCCAGGAACTGCCCCTCACAAACACAACTGTCCTGGAAACCTCTTCTGCAGAAGATACCAGGGCGTGAGTGTTTTGAGCAATAGATCACCATACCCTCATTCCTTAACCCTAGCTCCAACTCAGGGACTTCACCTTTGGCCTCGTTTAAAGGGAGGTGGATGAGGCAGACCCTCTTCATCCCTTTGCTCCCAGATGTTACTAGGTGACATGAAGGAAAACAAAGCCTCTGCTGTCACCCACCAAGAAGGCGGAATACAAGCTGCATCTCCCTCCCCCGTATAGAAAATCCTCCCTTGCTCCACCCCCAGTATGAGACATTCCTCTCTGTGGCTCTCTAGCATCCTTCTGCACCCATACCCTAGTCCTCATGCCAACCTCTCTTTAAAGTTCAGGGGATAGCAGGCAGCCATAGCCCAGTAACTTGATCAAAAGAGGACTACTTCGAGGATTTATTAATTTAGGAATATTTATTGAGGATTGAGGAGTCCTGGGTTTGAAAGGGTTAGAGTGTAAGATCTTCCCTATCAGAATATGGTCAAGAGGAGGGACATTTAGAAACTGCATTGGAGAAATGGAAACGGAAATTTTATCTTCTTTCTGTAACAACACATGGGGTCGCCACGCGTCAGAATGTACTCCAAGGCGACTAACAACAGTAACACTAACCCGCCTCCGAATTTTCTTTCTCTTTGTTCATCTTGCCTTCACTTACTGAATTCTTAACTACATCTTTCGATAAACACTTTTTTGGGGCCCCCCGCTGTGCCCCGGGGCACAGCTCTAAGATCTGGAACCGGGAAGTAGGAACAGTCTTAGCCCGCAGGAGTCCCAGCTGTGCAACGCTCGTCAGTAACCATCGCCTTATTTCATCTTTCCCCTCAACATTGTTTTTGAGATTCATCTATGTTGGCACACAGCTCTATTTAGTTCCAAGAGGGCAGACATGAACAGTCCCATTTTACAGAAGTGAAAACTCTAACTGCTAAAGGAAAAATGAGTTGCTTTCGAGTAAACGAGGCAACCAATCTATACCCGGACGCCTCCGTGCCACGTGCAGTAGCGCCTTTGGCCCCTGGCGATCCCACGAGCGCACGTTTGCTCCGGCCGCCTCCCTCCCAGTAGCCGCAGCGCCGGGTCCACGTGTGTGTATCTGTGTGCCGAATGGGGACGGGGGCGGTGCCGCACGCGGGGTGGGGTCCGGACTGACGTCACGAGCAGGGAGGCCCAATCAGCGGCGGACTCGCGGTCCCGGCGCTGGTATTGGGGCAGCGAGGGGGCAGTTCTCTATAACGCGGTCTCCGGGAGCCAGCAGGGAAGAAAGAAGCCGAGCGGGCGGAAGGCGCCCTCCCCGCCGCCTGGGCCCGGGCACTGGGTGCCGGGCCCGGGGTCCTTCCCGCTTCCCGCGGCCGCCGACCGCTTTGTTTTCCCAGCTTCTGCCATCCGGTCCACTCAAGAGGGGTTCCCGCCGAGGCTGAGCCGGGTACGCGCGGCAGGAAGGGCGGCCGACCGCGCCGGGACTCGCAGGGACCCAGGAGTCCGGCCGCGAGGAGGGCCGCGTGATCAAGGAAGGGAGCAAGAGCCTGTGGCCCTGGGCAGCGCTCCGGGGGGCGCCGTGAGCAGAGACCTCCCCGTCGAGGGGGGGCGATGTTCCGCTCGCCCGTAGGGACTCCGGGCAACCAGGGCATCCCGCCGCTGGGGCCAGGGCCCCCGCAGCCGGCACCCCCCGCAGCAGCTCCATGGAGACACTGTGCCCCGCATCCCGCCATGCAGTGCCGACGTCCCCGCGAGGGTCTCCCTGCTCTCCCGCGTCCCGGAAGCCGCGTCGGGGGACCCAAGAGTTCTCGCCGCTGTGCCTGCGTGCTCTCGCCTTCTGTGCCCTTGCCAAGCCCCGGGCGCCCCCTCTGGACCTGGAGCCGGGGGAGCTGGTGCCGCGGCCACCCGTGCTGCTGGGCCCTCACGCCCCCCTCTGCGCGGGAGGCTGGTCCCCGGATGGCCTGAAGCACCTCGGGGGGCCGGCCGGGCAGTGTAGCGAGCCGAGCTCCCCCGCCAGCGAAGATGCTGCCGTGGTACGGGACCGCGGTGAGGAGGAAGAGGGCGGAGGCCGTTTCCCGCACTTGGGCACTCGCTCCTGCGCACCTACGGCGCGCGGCCCTGCGCCCCGGCGCTCTCGGGAACCGCCGGCCAACACCGCCCTGGCTCCTACTAGGCCAGCCCCGGCGTCCGAGTCCCAGCTCGGCCGCGCTGCCTCCCCGGCTCAGGAGCCCGCTACCCCACTTTCCCCAACACCTGCGGGCCTTTCCATCGAATCCACGGGTCCGGAACTCGCGCCGGAGCCGCCCCTGACGGACCTAGCGGCCACAGTCGACGAAACACCCCCGAAGGCCGCTGCCGCCAACCCCTCGACGGCCGACGGAGCTCCGACAGCGCCTAGCGACCTCCGCCAGGAACATTTCGATCGTCTGATCCGCCGGTCAAAACTGTGGTGTTACGCGAAGGGCTTCGCCTTGGACACGCCGAGCTTGCGTCGGGGGCCCGAGCGGCCGCCAGGGAAAGGGCCTACCCGGGGGGCAGCCAAGAAACGCCGGCGGCCGCCGCCTCCCCCGCGACCCGCGCAGCCCCGACGCCCAGCCCCGACGCTCCCCACCACCAGCACCTTCAGCCTCTTGGATTGCTTCCCCTGCCCTGCAGCTCTGGTAGTGGGGGAGGACGGAGACTTACGGCCTGCGTCCTCACTTCGCCTTCAGGGAGACTCTAAGCCCCCCCCTGCCCACCCGTTGTGGAGGTGGCAGATGGGAGGCCCCGCTGTCCCTGAGCCCCCGGGCCTCAAGTTCTGGGGGATCAACTTGGAGGAACTCTGAGCGTGGGACCTCTTCTGCTAATGGGGCGGGGAGGTCGGGGCCACTGCCAAACGGAGGGCAAGGAGGAGACAGCCTGGGTCTCACGTTTTGCCCGCTCCCTTCTCTTAATTTTCTGGACTGTGGGCAGAGGAACGTTAAATGACAATGATTTTCTAGCACCTAAGTGATGGGCGTAAACCTCTTCCCCCATTATTTGGAGAGGAACGTGGGGTTGGAACCTGGAAAAGGCTTAACCAAGAGAGAGATAACAATTCAAACCAATCCCCCTCTTCCAGCTTGGAGCTCTGTGGGGCAGGGCCTTCACCTCTGGGAAAGCCAAGGGGGCAACTGCTTAAAGACCAAAAAAAAAAGAAAGAGAGAGAGAGAATCCTTGGGGACGGATAAACCGGTTGTTTCCATGACCGATCCTGGGGGTGAGGGGTCTGTGATGGGGGTGGGGAGGTGATTGGCAGCACCCTGGGGGTATCTTCCACCCCCACCATCCATCCATACCTTTAACCCTTTACTCCCTTCAGGTCTTCCCCAGCTTTGCTAGCGCCACTGGAGCCTAATGGGAAAGGAGGCAAGGGGAGGACTACTCCCTTTAAGTTCCCTTTCCAGAGCTTTCAAATTCAGGTGACTCCTTGTTGGGGAGATCTTCAGTCTTCTCACCTATGTTACTAGTCCAGTTTTGGAGTTGCCCCTTCAATTTTCCTTCTTTGCTTTTGGTTTATAAGGTCTGATGGGTGAAAAGACCCACCTCCTTGAGAAATCAATCCCCTTCCCCTCAGTTGACTCCTCAGGAAAACTGAAGTGAGGTGGTGGTGAACATACTGCCTGGGGAAGGAACAAGAGACTGTCCCCGCGGGAACATAATGGAAGGTGGAAGAGATCAGTACAATCAGACCAAACAAGTTGTCTTTCAAAATCCTCTGCACCGACTTATAGACAGGAATGGGGGTGAAGGTAGAGGACAGGCCTGGGTTCACACCCAAAATCAGCCCTCTTAAAGGGTAGAGAGGAAATGAGCTGCTCTAGGCAGAAGGACTTTTCTGGTATTGGCTCAAGAGTCCACTGGGGTTTTTTGAAAGGCAAAGTTTGGGTTTGGGTGGGAATGGGTGAGGTACCTTGAGCTCCTTCTCCAGGCCTCTGGCATTTCTGGAGTTGTCAGGGATCTGATGGATCTGAAGGGGGCAGGGTCAGGGGATTAAGTTTGGAGTCAGAGGTTCTGTTTTCTGGGGGGGGGGAGGGGAGAAAGAGGCCTGAACTCTGCAGCTCCCTTGGAGTCAGGGAGAGGTGAAGTCCCTATTTCCACACAGGTGAAGCCAGGGGAGGTTAACTGCAGTTCGGAGATTCTAAGTTTAGAGGTGTGAGGGGAAGCTGGGGGCTGCTGATCTGCTTAGCAATTGTGGGATCTAGTGACCCCTCTGCCCATACCAGTGAATAGTGACCCCTTCCCCTCAAAAAAAGGGGTGAGGAGGAACAATTCCCACATACGACACTGGGGAAGGGCTTGTCTCCTTTTCTGTGAAAATGCTTGTAAAAAGTTGTTTATTGTTTGCATAGAGCAGATTCTCTTGAAAAACTGTTTTGGATCACAAAAGTTTTGTTTGTTTTAAAAGCTGTCTCCTTTAATTTTTCTTTCGCTGGGGGTGAGACTTGGGGGCAGGGTGGGTGGGCGTGGGTTGGGCACTGCTCACTCATCAACATCTGGCCTTTATGATCCCTGCTGACCTCCCCTCCCCCCTCCAGCTGTGTTGTGGGGAGGAGGGAAGGAAGGTTGGCAGAGTGCCTTCCCTGCTGTGCTTGGGGAATCCATCTTATCTTGCCCCCCAGGATGGAGAAGGGGGAAGAAGGCAGATATGAGGGGTGGGAACAACAAACAGTGTTTGTGAAACGAACTCCCTTTTAAAAAAAAGTAGTGTAGTATGGGTTGGTTTGGTCCCCTTTGACCTACCTAGATCTGGGGCTGGGGATGGTTTGAGCTCTGGGAGAAGGATGAAGGAGTGCACATCATACACACCCTTCAGACTTTCCTTCTCTGAGGAGCTGGAGGTGTGTTAATTTGGTTTTCTCTTCCTCCTCCTTTGCTAGTGGAAATATTAAGCCTCAACCTGGAAAGGGTGAGGTGGTGAGTTAAACATACCTTTTGGGCAAATCTGGAATGCCCTCCTGTTGACACATTCTAGAAAGGTCTGGAAACATCCCAGTAGTTACTCATATTGTACAAAATAGGAAACTGTTAGTTTCCTAGGTCTGCTGTACAAATTATCACAAACTTGGTGACTGACAACAGCGGAAAATGATTATGAGTTCTGGAGGCCTGAAGTCCAAAATCAAGATGTTGACAGGGATGTGTTCCGTCCCAAAGCTCTAGGGGGAGAATCCCTTCCTAGCGTCTGTCTTCCAGCTTCCAGGTATTTCTTGTGGCTGAGCAGCTCCTACCTGGGGTGTTTCTTCACATAACCTCTTATGTCTCTTCAAAGGACACTTTTCACTCATTGTATTTGGGGCTCACCTGGACAATCCAGGATGATCTGATCGCATATCAAGATCTTTAACTTTATCACATTGGTAAACACCCTTTTCCCAAATAAGGCTGTATTCACAGGTCCTGGGGGTTAGGATGCTGATGCGTTGGTGGTGCTAAGGATTAATACAAGGAGCTCTGGTAGCATAGTGGTTACGAACGGGCTGCGAACCTCAGGGTCAGCAGTTCGAAACTACCAGCTGTTCCGCGGGAGAAAGATGAGGCGTTCTGCTCCCGTAAAGATTTACAGCCTCGGAAACCCTGTACAGGGTCTCTATGAGACACCACCGCACATAACAACAACAAAGGATTAATACACTGGACTGCAAGGTTGGTTTGAATGCAGGGTCAGTGGTTCAAGCTTACTAACCCCTCTTCAGAAACCCTATGCAGGGTTGCTATGAGTAGGAACCAACTCAATGGCACTTAACAACATTCAACCTAGTTGGAATCCTGGTGTGGTGCTGTAGGATAAACACTGGACTGCTAACCACAAGGTTGGTGGTTCAAACCCAGCAGCTGCTCCTTGGAAACCCTAACAAGAGTTGCTATGAGTCGGAACCCAGTTGACAGCACTTAACAACATTCAACTTAATACAGCAACTTGGTTGTTAACTTGCCTTGGAGGTACTTTCAACTCATAGTGATCCTGTATAGGGTTTCCAAGGAACGGCTGGTGAGTTTGAACCACCAACCTCGTGGTTAACAGGCCAGTGCCTATCCTACAGCGCCATACCAGGACTAAAGCAACTAAATACCATAAAAAAGAAACCTACACCTTTTGGGAGAAGAAAACCTGGGATGTGCAGGATTGTCATGTGGTGCAGCCCTTCTCAAATTGGGGCCATCAATTTCCTGAACTGGATGGAGAGGCCTGGGGAAGGTGGAAACATGGTGCTTTCTCAGGCAGGCTGAACTTCAAGAGGCTGGACTCCCCCTGCCCCACCAACTGCTCCTTCCCTCTCTTCTTTGGCATTCCCCAGGTAGGCCTCTTTTGGTGTACCCAGTACCTGCTCCCAGATTTTGGGTACATTCTCTATGTCCTCATGGCTCTGTCCCTGGTCACTATGTAGTTGTCAGGAATGCAGAGGTAACAGGATCTAAGTTTCTGTCTGGGTCTGGATTCTCTTGCTGGGCTATCCCTGTCCCTTGAGTATCATCAGCAGGTTTCCCCTCTGTGGTCCCCAATATCTGCCCTCTTTATCAGGGCTGTGAAGGATCCAGAGATCAAGCGCCTCATATTTTGCTTCCCAGGCATCTCTCTTTCCTCACCCTTAGATTCAGCCTGCTCACCATTACCATCCTCCTCCTGAGAATCTTAGCCATCCCCATACCTACTGCATTTGGCCCCTTAAATCTTTGCGGCCTGACTTCTGCTTTTTTCAGGTTCACCCATGACAACCCTTAACCATAAATCCAACAGTCATCTCTGCACTGATCCCTGGACCTCTCCATGGATGCTCAGGATCTTCTTGTGTGTTTTGTTACTTCTCCCCACGTCCTCAGGAAACTTTCAAAAGAGGGACCATCCCCCACCCCAATGGCTTCCATTGTCGTTGCTCCCACATCTTCCCTTATCTATTTCTCCCAAGTCTTTGACTTGTACCTGCTTAGGTAAGTGAATTGGAAATGACTGTCCCTGGTTCATCCCTCTCCAACCCCTTTCAAGAGCTTTGAGTATTGGAGAGCTGTTGGCAACTCCTACTCTCCTCACTGGAGATGGGGCTCACTGATTTCACCTCCTGCTCACATTCAGCCCTCTGGTCAAGTTCCCATTCTAGTTACAGCTCTGCCTTTCTTCTAATTGTTGTTGTTAAGTACTGTCCAGTCGATTCTGACCCATAGCAACCCTGTATAGGGCTTCCAAGAAGCAGCTGGTGAGCTTGAACCACCAACCTTGCACTTCAAATGACTGCAGTCTGAAGCATTAGCCCACAGCGCCACACCAGGGCTCCTTACCGCTCTAAAACTCAGCACTTTAAATTCTCATCTGGGTCCTCCTGTTTGATCCATAGCTATTTTCAAACCTTTCCCTCCCTTAGTACTTTTTGCATTCACATCTCCTCTCCATCATGGTTCAGGCTCCCACCACCTCTAGTTTGGACCAATGCAGTAGTCACCTAACTAGTTTCTGAATCTCAGGTTTTTCTCTGATCTCCTCAGATGGGGTAGACTTCTTGTTCAATGGGCTCTTGGTTTTTATAAATGCAACCTTCTTGGCCTGTTATTTGGGGCCCTAGAGGGTCCTGGTGTGGTGATGTAGGATCAGCATGGGACTGTTAACCACAAGGTTGGTCGCTCAAACCTACCGGCCGCTCCTCAGAAACCCTATACAGGGTTGCTATGAGTCAGAACTGAATAAATGGCACCTAGCAGTAACAGCTGAAGGAGCTCTGGTAGCGTAGTGGTTACGAATCGGGCTGCGAACCTTAAGGTCAGCGGTTCGAAACTACCAGCTGCTCCGCGGGAGAAAGATGAGGCTTTCTACTCC